CTACGACGACAACAGCAGCAACAACAACAACAACAAGAATAGCAACAAGAAGAACACCGTTTCTTGCATTATCACAATTACAAGTCCGACCGGCAGTATGTTCATCATCATGACGAGCATCATCGGTGAAGAATCAATAGCTATTTCATCTTCCTCATCATAGCCGGTCATAGCCAGCTCGCAGTCAGCAGAAGAAAACGGGTATTCCATAGTAGCATTGCAGCAACGAGTCTTCATCTGACTGTCGGCCAGCGGAGGGCCTGCGCGATGTGGAGAAGGCCTGGAGCAAGCGAATGCTGGAAACACATCGGCCAGCAACTTGACTCTGCGCCGTCGTTGTGTCTAAGCCGGGGCTCGCACAAAAAGGGAGGGTAGGGCTCAGTCTGAGTCTCGGGCCTTGGGGCTCAGGGAATGCGATCTCAGGTCTATGGCGATGACCTGCAGCCGATGTGGAGCTCCTTTTGCGATGCTGCTCGGTGGACATAGTGATTTAGGGGTTCCGGTGGGCAGGCCTTCTGTGATAGTGGGTCGAAAACCTGAGCCCTTTTCTGCCATATTGCAGAAGCTTGAATTGAAAGCTCTTTGAGGCCATGAAGATGATGTATGATGCCGGAGGGGACATCTGCCAGAAGGAGGCAAAGCAAGTGAAGTGTCCCACGTTCATCCTGCACCCCGGCACTGATCTGCTGCTGTTGATATGATACATGCTCCACTACTTCAAAGGCTGCGATCCAGCGGATGTGGATTCATGAGGGGTGTGCGAACTTTACACAGTAACCCAACACAAGAAGTCTGCAGACAAGTGGCTGTACTACGGGTAGCAAGGAGGTGTGGGGATTCTGCGATCCCAACATGAAGGTTTAGGAACTCACAGTGGCATCATGCACACCTCGATCGTGCCTCATCTGCACCCTTCACGGCCTTATGCGGTGCACAGAATATAAGGTCGGAACAATGACCTTTGTTATTCCTTCGGGGTCCGTGATTTCTGTTTCTACCATAATAGACCTTAAAACCCTATTCTACATGCAAAGGCCCCCCGATAGTTAGCAAAGCTACCACCGGCAAAGGCACGGGGCCAAAGATCCCCTGGTGCCTTCGCATCACCCGGAGTGGTTCCACCAGGCCATCGCGGGCTCCAAGCTTCATGTCTTCCCGGCGCCCAGGCACAATAATAAACCATAATAGACTCTAACAAGCAATGCGACCGCAACCTGTCATATGCACTTCAGACAACTTGCGTGACCGGCGCCCTTCGGGCCGAGAAACTTCGAGTTGTGTGGACACTTGTCGTAAGCCTTCCTGGCGGTGGTGGCGAGAGCAGCAGCAAGAGCAACGACCACCAACCACGGAGGCTACGACGAGGACGCGAGGACGAGGACTTGGGTTGGGACGCGACAACGACAAGAGCAACAACAGCTAAGGCTAAGGTTGAGGTTGGCACGATATGTCCGCGAGGATAACGATGATGAGCACTGCTGCTGCTGCTGCTGCTGCTGCTGCTGCTGCTGCTGCTGCTGAGGCTGGGGAGCCGAGGACGAGCATGACGACAACAAGCATGACAATCATGGTTATGATGATGAGTCTGATGATGATGTCGACGAGGTTGAAGATGATGATGATAGCGAAGAGGGTCGTGGCCGTGATGATTGTCTTACTTGCAAAATTCCCCTGATCTCTTTGGTTTGCTCTGGCCCTTTCCAGCTTTGTGCTTCGTTTGGCTCCAAGGTTTCTCGTTATCCTTGCTTTCATGTCATTGTGCTTGGCGTCTTGCATCTTAGGAAGGCAAGCACAACATTCATCAGAAGTTTGCCGACGAGTTCAACAAGATGCTTCTGGAGTTCTTTGCCGAGTAGGGTGCTCCGAAAGAGCAGCGTGGCTGCCATATGTGTCGGCGACCTTTGCGCTCGATATCTTGCACAAGTCGCCTCCGCACGAGGTGCACCCCCTTTTCTCCGCCATGAGAGGGTGTTGGCATGCAGTGCCTTTGGCTGGACACCGGCTGCTGGCCTTAGCGAAAAAAGTGCGTGTGAATCAGGGGTTTGCTTCTAATCTGCTGCACCCCTCAGGATGTTTAGCAACTTTGAGGTCGAGCAAGCGAGCAAGCAAGCATCCGATCACGTGAAATTCCGCTTCACATTCGTCTTCTGGCTGATGAAGCCTTCAGTAGCCTGACAAAGAAAACTGCGAAGGTCCGTCTGCCCAGCTGAGGCCAAGCTTGCTGTGAGGGCCAATGCAGGGCGAGGAGCCCAGGTTTTCCCAGGAAATGATTGCATGGACGTACAATTCATTGCAGGTACACGATGGAAGAGGTGTCCATGATGCGAGAGAAGTCTGGGACTCTGCACGGCTGTCATGAGCACTTCCATGTGACACCGCTTCTCCTGAACGCATGCTGGGGAATCGGCCCACACAGGTTTGCAGTGTATGATGCCGATGGGAGTGGCGACATCGACAATCACGAGCTTGCCAAGCTTTTTCAGGAGCGACCCTTCAAATCTTGAGCCGCCGAATGTCAGCTGTTAACAGGGCGACCTGCACTACTGTTGAGCGGGATGGTACTGAACATGGTGATCAGATTTCATTGCAACTCATGGGCTTTGAGTGGGGTGTGGTGTGCCTTGAGCAGTTTCATTTCGGCCTCTCTGTGCCTCTAGTGATAGTAGTAGTAGTAGTAGTAGTAGTAGTAGCAGTAGTAGTAAGTAGTAGTAGTAGTAGTAGTAGTAGTAGTAGTAGTAGTAGTAGTAGTAGTAGTAGTAGCAGCAGCAGCAGCAGCAGTAGTAGT